CAAAATACTGCACATGTTACCTTAGTGATAATATAGGCTATCCTTGAACACAAGATAGTTTTTTTTTTTTCTTAATCTGCCCTATAGTAGCATCGATATAGTAGTTAGAGAAGTATCTCTTTACTCGTAACTTCTATATTTACCATATAATATTCAAGTTACTCCTACAGATCCAAAACATCTGTATGGACTATCCCATGTTTGTAGCACAGACTTGTGCAATTCCAAGTTCATTTGTTCATCCACAACATTTGTGGGGTGACAGTTTGGAATGCTGCATGAACTGCATTTTTCAGATCATTGTTTATGGAGTATCTGCATCTTTGCACTTTCACAAACTCCAGAGGGCAAGGTGATGGCTCCTTGGAGGGAAAGGAGCTGTAGACTCTATTGACTATTGTCTGATTTAGTGATTTGGGAAAATTTGGTTCAAATGTATGTGGAAATTCAGTGCAAAATGCACTGGTGCATAATCTTGTTGAAACCATAGTGTTGGTAATTCCTTTTGCTGTGAGCTTGGGAAGCAACCAGTCCTTGAGCATGCTGAGATAATTGTTCCAAGTAACAGGCCCTTGAAGAAATAAGACCTAAGCAAATGTTTTGTAGTTATGCTGACCTAAAACATATGTGGTGGATTATGCTAAATTTCCTCAAAGAAGTGACAATTTTCTTTAGTCCAGAAAAACACATTGAGATTCTGAGCTACGATAAATTGCACATTCATCCAAAAACATGACTTTCCTCTAGTTGAGCAGTTCTCAACTTAATTTTTATCATGGAACTCTTCACCTTAGTAAAAAATTTCAGAACCCTGACAATTTTTAATGATTATAGATAAAATAACAAATAGAAACACCAAAAATAATTTATTCAAAATGCAAAAAAGAAAAAAAGATTAATAATGGCTAGCAAGTAATATTAGTTAATTCAAACTAGTCATTAATGTGAAGGGTTAAACTTTTTCTTTCAATATTTTAAAAAGCACTAGTGTGTAGATCTTTTGTTTGTATCTGCTGCCTTTTCTATCTCTTTACTCTAGAAACATTTGAAGTACTTTACTACATTTCAAAATCCACCTCTTAGCCAATGCTCCATTATACTATATTTTAATTTGGGGTATATTCAAAACTAAATGCACCATAAATTTATAGTGATAATTATATATTTTTATATGAAAAATACTTAAAATATTACAAAACAATTGCAGTGCAAAACTTTAATAATCTTTGACTGATATCCTGCTTATATGCTGTATCGTTATATGATTATATCATTGTGTTTCAACACATTACAGATGACAGAACATTAATTAACTCCTTGGTGATGTGTGACACTCAACTGACTTGAGTGTCCCATCACTAGTATCAGTGTGTAGCTAAGAGTGCGGTTCATCTTGAGTGTCACTTTTTCAGGGCAGCATTTTTGGCATTAAAAAAATTTTAAACACCTTTTTAATAATAAGAAGAGTAAAATTATCAAATATTCCGAGAGTTAACAAGTACAAAAACTATATGACTCATTGGAAAATTTATACTAATATTATAAAGAGGTAATGTTTGTAAGTATGTATGTATGTATGTATGTTTGTTTGCAGCAGGTAATCTCCGAAACTACTCATCCGATTTCAAAAATTCTTTCACCAATATTTAGAATGGAACCTCAGGGTGGACATAGGCTGTATATTATGCTGTTAAACATTATATATCATATAAATTAAAATATATAATCTAGGTTAAGGCTTTTATGTCCAACAAATGGCGCTACGAGTACGATGCCCTAAGTTTGCTTTTTGCGAGGCATTATGCTTTTCTGTGAAAATGAACTAAAGCAGATCATCTTCTATCTGTCTNTATAGGTCGATCTAATAACAGACATATAAATTAACCAATTACAGTGCAAAAGAAGTTTACTATCGATGTTATCTGCCAATAATCTCCATTTTTACCTCTACTTGCTGTGTGATTTTACATGGTGTTTTTTTGGAAATATTGAGATATTTTTGGCCCGGGGTTTGGTACAAAGAATTTAATTGTTGTAACAGTTAAAAAACACATACAGGAAGACGATTGACAGCTTAGATAGCATCAGACTTGTTTACAGTTTGTAAAATACACTCTTGAAGTCGACCAATTTTTTTTGAAAAATTTCTAAAAACGGGAGACTTTCTGTTTTTCGTTACGAATAAATAAAAACGATATATTTGAAGTAGTTTTCTTCACTAATACATCAAAAACACATGCCCACAAACATCCAAAATGAAAAAATCGCGAAAAAAACTATGCGTTTTGAAAAATTGAATTTTGAAACAGGGTTCTATAGAACCCCGCGCGACAAACAGTGCGAGAGTAACTGAACGCGCGTAACCGTGGGTTAAACTGAAGAGGGATGTAACTGTCCAAAATGCATATTTAATAAAGTAGAACAGCAAAAAAGTCTCAAAAGTGTCTAAATGTGTCCTAGAAGGTGTGATAAATTCTCAGATTAGAAGCCGATATAGAAGTTTAATAACCATTAATATTCAAAAGAAGGATAAGAAGAAAATGTCTATCAGAATAAAACTAGTATAATAATTTTTTTATTAATTATTAGTTGTCACCAGAGGGGAGTATCATTCATTATTAAAATTGTGGCGCAAATTTTAAACGGTTTATTATGATTTAAAGCAATGCCTTGTGGAAAAACACTAACAGAGTTGGAAATACGTGAAATTTACCAACTAAAAGGATTAGGACGATCTCTAAGACAAATTTCAGCAGCTATAAATCGATCTACACGTGCTGTGAGAAATGTTTTACCTCAGGGTAAAAATTATGGCAGAAATAAGCGATGTGGAAGGCCTAAACTCCTTACACTGAGAAACGAAAGAAAGGTTTTTCAGCTACTGACGGTCAACAAGTTGTCTGTCAGAGAAGCAGCGTCAACATTGCCAATTGCAGTTTCCCCAGCAACTGTATGGAGATGTATGCATAATCATAAAAATGCCAAATTTACCAAAATGACTGTCAAACTGAAATTAACACAATTGCACAAAACAGCTAGATTAAAGTGGGCCAAAGACAAGATGACATGAAAAGAGGAATGGAAACAAATAGTCTTTTCAGATGAAAAAAAGTGGAATTTGGATGGACCTGACGGTTATAATCACTACTGGCATGATTTGAGGAAGAACGAAGAAGTCAGAATGAGCAGACAGCAAGATGGAGGATCTGTGATGGTGTGGGCAGGATTTGGATGGGGAGGTAAAACAGATATTGTATTCATAGAAGGTAGAATGAATTCAAAAAAGTATCAAGAACTGTTGTATCAAAATTTAATAACTTTTGGACCACTTATTGGGGGAGAAAACTGGCAATTCCAACAGGATAATGCTGCCATTCATACATCAAAGTCAACTAAAAATTGGTTTGCAAAAAAAAAATTACTGTAATGCCATCATGGAGCCCTGATATGAACCCAATAGAAAATATTTGGGGCATTATGAGTCGTCTTGTTTATGGCCAAAACAGACAATATAATACTGTAAATGAATTGAAATTAGCTATTATGGATTGTTGGGAAAATATTAAACAAGAACAACTTCAAAAACTAGTAAAATGTATGCTTGATAGAGTATTTGAACTAATTAAATCAAATGGTGGACCTACAAAATATTGAAACATCACAAATTGTTTTTTGTACACATGTGTTTATACTTTTGAAACCAAACGGCAACTGCGTTTTCTGATAAGTTATTTTTCTGCAAAAAATTCATTGACCTTTGGAGACATCATTAATATAAATAATATTTATGGCCGTTGAATAAGAAATGTTTCTTTCACAAGAAATGTATAAAATTAGTGCTGTATTAGACTTACATAATTTACCTAATTTACATACTGTACAGACGATAGTAAACTCAACTTACTCGTCTAAACTCTTCATAGCGTGGCGCTTCACAGTGGAAAGTATATATATAATTATAATAAAGTTACAATAAATTAAGTTAATATATAATTATATATACAGTACCTAATTTATATATAATTAATATATAATTATATGTACAGTACCTAATTTATATATAATACTGTACAGATGATAGCAAACTCAATTTACCCACCTAAACTTTCCGCAGCGTGGCGCTGGATGGCGAAAGTAGTTCGGCTGCTCATTCACTATTGGTCCAGATTTGACCAATCTTGTTGTGACACGAGTTGGCGACGACGTTTTACGAGTCCCTTTATACGAATACTGCCACAATTTTTTCGCTACGTTATAGGATCCCACGTTATAGGGGGGTTGACTGTATATATTTTTTAAATTTTTATTCACTGCTTCTTGCTTTCTTTTGTTTACTTTCACCAGCACTTTCACTGGATAGAGGTTGCTTGGTAAAATATCTATTTAAAGAGGTTTGGCTTTGCCTACTTTTTAAAATGTTTCTAAAATGACTTAGTCAAATGTCATTACTCCGAGCAGCAATACAGCCAGTGTGAACCTTTTTTGGATGTTTCTTTTCAATAAAATCAGTCACTTTCTGATAATACCTCAAGATTTCCTTTATTGAGTGAGATCCTTCCAGGACAAAGCAAACATGCGGACTGAGACCAATGAACAGAAGTGAATAAAAAATGGCGCTGTGAACTAATGTAACGTTGTATGGTGAGTTTTTGTTCGTATCGTGGAGCAAAAATATGTTCGAATTTCATGTCGTATCCTGAAAATTTTGTATGCTGGGGCATTTGTATCCTGAGGTACCAATGTATATTACATCATTTACATGACATTTGGCATATTGTATGGAAATATATAAATCTCAAATAATTTGAAACTCAATAGTTTGAAGTGGTGATTATTTTGTCCCTTGAATTTTGAACTAACAAGGTATATTTAAGAAAATTACAAAATAGATTTATTTGAAGTGAGAAAATAATTTTTTTTTCCAAAATTTATTTTATTTTTTAAGATTTATTCTATTTTGGTACAAAGAAAATATTTTTAGAATAATTTTTTACTTTTAGGTCATTAAAAATGGTTCTGCGGCCAAAATTCCATGTGGTTGAGGTACATGGTGATGTCAGATATGCAGGTTCAAGTATTGGATCCATTCGATGGAGACAGGGATATTTGAAGATAGTTTGGAACAAAGAAGAACTTGTATGGTGGTGTCATTTATATTTTGAAGCTAAAAACAGAATTCCTGCTTTTCAGCATAAGGTAAGTGCTGATATTAGATAAATTTATATGTACTTAATAATTCATAATTAGAATAAAGTATCAATAAAAAATATACAAAGTCCAATAAAATAATTTGGATTAAAGACAAAGAACCTTGCACTGCAGTTATCAGGGGGAAAACTTTACTGGAAAATAGCTAGTTCTAATATTAAACTTACTAATCTTAGTGATTACAAGAGTGAAATGCTTACAAAACATTTGTCTTTGTGAGTTCTGAAAGCCCAATTGAGAACTATTAAAAACTATAACTTTCATTGCTTGGATATTGTGGTGCACAATGTTGTGTATATTTCCACATATTCACCTTATGCATTGAGGATTTGTCTCATTGCTATTACAGGTGGCGAAGAATATGCACCTGTTATTTAGAACTCTTGAGTTCTGTTGGCAGAACCAGTTAAAGACTACATTGGCTGCCTTACCATCTGATTAAAATCTCTTCTAAAGATATCATCTGTTTGGATTTTTGAAGAAATGATTACTAGGTGCATAGGTTCATACTGTTAAGTGGTCCAAAACTTTCCAACAGTCCTCCCTAAACTATTTGATAGTGGTTTGGGTGACATTGCTGTATCCATATCAGGGGGCTGTTTTTCATCTTCACAGTACAGTGGAACCCTGGTTAACGAACGTCCTGGTTAATGACCAAATCGGTTAACGAACTATTATTTTGCAAAAATTTTGTCTCGGATAACGAACAAAATTCAGATAACGAACTTAACGGCTTTTTGTGTCAAATTTGTAAGCTTGCCGACTTTTAGGGAAAATCAGTTAATCGTGTGTTGGTGATGGTCTAGGGTCCATTCGTACGTTGGTGATGGCAGAGGAGGCAAAGCTGGCAAGTATTTTACAGTGAAAATCGTTTATTAGAACGGGAAGATGCTTACATATTTGAGGTAGTTGGAAATGGCTTATCTACAGTATTTTCTCTCGGCACTGAGGAGTGGCGTATCGCTGGTCCTACGATAGTGCAAGCTGATCAGTCGTAGCCCCAGAGCGGACGAGATGGGTTCGCTTGGTCACAGAAGCGATGGTAGGTGACAGAGCAGCAACGACTGGAGTGGTCCGCGAGACACAACACAAATTTTAGCGTGAACAACTTCAGGCTTAATCCAGACGAAGACGACACAGATTAATCGCCATAGAATTTTTAGGAAAACTGCGTTTTGACCTTGATGTTCGGGGTTTTTATAGTATTTCTTTCTTGAATCTCACCTTACGATTTGTCCTGCATCCCATTCCTCGCTTCCCTATTGCTTTCCTCTCTGTCTTCAGGTGAAAACCGAAACCAGATCAGGTCACGAGAAAGGTTTGTTCGGAGGCATTTATTCGACACCTGTTTGTCGACTCTGATCGGAGATTGTTGTTAAGCCTATAAGCCTTTCGCTCATAATTTAGCCTATTGTTTCTGCTATCTGTCATTTTAGAACTTTAACGATCCTATGTGATGTTTTTTATACCGTCAAATCTTTCCTTTTTTCCGAAAACGTAACCTAGATCGACTGTTTATGAGTTTTCCTATATTTTCATTAAAGAAAACCCATTTTACAAATAAAATTACAAAAATACTGACGGCTAGAACGGATTAATTGTATTTGCATTAATTTCTATGGGAAAAATTGCTTCGGTTAACGAACGGACTCGTGGAACGGATTACGTTCGTTAACCGGGGTTCCACTGTACATGTTTTCAGTAGGTTGGTCATGATTGGACTGATGCCATGATACACCACTTGCAATGATGTGATATTTAGTGGGTATGAATTGTGCAATATGACATCAAAATTGTCATACTTATCAGTTCTATTAAAATATATCTTGCCATCAGAACTTACTTCTTGAATGTATGCTTTGATTAAAATATAAGTTTGAAATATATTAATTTATTTAGTTTAAATATATTTGAGAGAAAAATTTACAATTGTTAGATTTTTAAGATTTATGAAATATTGAACTCATGGGGATAAATAAACCTTGGATATGAAATACATTGCTGTCCATCCAAAATGCAACACCCTGAAGGAAGCATCCAAATCAAGTAAAATTTGCACCATGCATTTGTGGCAATGAGATATGCAAATGATTAGCATTTCAGCACAAATGCATATCATGGGCACCTGTTACACCACCTGCAAGCACTATATAAAGGGAGAATAGAAGGCCATTTTGAAGTACTGGAATTGTTCTTTTGTGCATTTTTTTTTTTTGGCGTAAGCAGCTTCAGTATGCTTCAGTAAGAAAATAAGCGTTTTTCGATCACGTTTCTGAGTTTGACCAAGGAAGAATAGTTGTCTATAGGGATATCCTTCAGAGAAATTGGTGATTGTGTCAGACATAACCAAGCAACTGTGATGCGGGTCTGTAACCACTGGATGCAGGAGGGAACAACAGACCAACAGGACTGATTGCACACACCTCGTTGCACCACTGCATGTGATGACAGGCATATCGTGCGCATGGCAGTGATGGATTGCTGTGCCACATCATGAACCATATCACAACAAATTCGGTCTGCTGCGCAACAATCGGTGTCCATGTGTACCCAGGAGAACACCCTCCGGCCACCCCCACTGTACCCTGTCCAAGGTATACCAGCAGTCTTGTCCTCTTTTCTTTATGCTACCCTATCTACAATTTTTGTTCTCCTTCCTTTGATTGATGACTCGGATGTACGTTAGTTTGTTAGTTGATTTGATTTCGTATTCTACTTTGCTTCCTTAGTATACTTTTCATTGCTTCACTAACTGTCTGGAAGTATTCTTTTCCTAATATCACGCTGATTTCCTTCTGTCCTGCACCAGATTCTAGAGATAATTCCATAAATATGTCTGTTTTTCTTCTTTCCTGGTCATAGATTGGGCACCATAGAAGTGTTTGTTCTGCACTGTCTTCTTTACCACATTCACAAAGCGAGGAATCCTCCAACTTAAAGCTGTGCAGTTTTTGTCTAAAGTCCCCATGACCTGTCAGAAACTGCATGGTGTAGTAATCACTGTGCATCCATTTCATCTTTTGCCTTTTCTCTATGTTGTTAATTATCTTGTATGTATGGCGTCCTTTTGTGCTTTCAGTCCACTCTTCTTGCCATTTTCCTAGTAGTAGTCTGTCTATTTCTTTTTGTCTCATTTTCTTTTCTTCTGCCATTATTACTTCAACGAATTCTCAGTCATATACTGTGAACTTTTCGCCCTTTCTGATGTAGTACCGGGCGTACGCCTTCCACAGTTCGTGGTGGATGGGTGCACATTTGCCAAAACCTGGAGTGCAGCTGCAGAGCAGGTGTTATAGCCCTTTAAGACCCTTAAGAGGGCAGTCCTCTGAGCGCTTAATATCTTACATTTACCATGGGCATTCAGCTTTTCTGCCCAGGCGGTTGCAGCATATGTGATGATCGGCACGAAGAGGCCCTTATAAAGGGTAGACATTGCTCTCTGGTCAAGTCCCCATTTGGCTTTAGCTATCCGGCCGAGGCAGTTAAAATAGTTTGCTGTTCTATTTATAATATCCTTTATATGGTCCATCACACAGAAGCCTTTTCCTATTGTCAGTCCAAGATATTTCATTGGTTTTTGCATCCTTATTGGTTGACCATACAGCCTAATCGTAGATGGTCTGTTTATGCACATGGTGCCTTTTAGCAGCACCATAATTGTCTTTTCTGCTGAGAATTTCAGTTTATGGGCTTCTGCCTAGATTTCCAGTTCTGTCATTAGTCTTAGACCTTTTGCTTCTAGATCTCTTCTGCTGTTTCCTTTGAGTATAATCACTTCATCATCTGCATATGCTATGACTGGGAATCGTAGATTTTGTACAAGCCTTAGGTTTGAGTCAAAAACTAAGTTCCAGAAATTGGGACCCAGCAAGGAGCCCTGCAGGCATCCGCGGTGAATCCTCTTTGTGACTTGTAGGATGTTGTCTATTATCGTAACTTTGCAGTCTTTTAGGTAGTCTTTGACTAACCAGTAGAGGTTATATGGGCAATTCCTGTCAACCAGCTCTTCAAGTATATTGGGCCATCAGAGATGATCAAATGCACCCACTATGTCGAAGAATATCCCAAGTATGTACTTCTCCTCTGACCATTCAACAATTTTCCTGAGTTTTATGATGGCATCCATAATTGAATGACCTGGCCTAAAGTCGTATTGGCAGTTTACTGTTCTATCTTCTATATCGGTTTTCATTCTAAGCCTGATAAGGCCTTTGAGTGCTTTACCAAGGAGCGGGAGAAGGCAAATTGGACGGTATGACCTAGGGTCACTCCTTTCTCTTTCATCGGCCTTTAGGATAGTAATCAGCTTCCCCTCCTTCCATTCTGCTGGGAAGATGCCAAACTCCAAACATGCATTTTAACCTTTAAGGAGGTCAGATTCTATTATTTCATAAGCCTCATCGAGAATGACTTTGGTTATGCCGTCTTTCCCTGGGGCCTTGCCCCTTTTCATTCTACTAATCACACATTGTAATTCCGACTCCCTGAAAGGGGTACTGGCCTTTTCACCTCAGTGTGAGTCTGCCTTTGGATTTCCTGTTGTTCAGGCATATCCTCTTCTATAATATCTGGCTTAAACTACAAGTCTAGGATGTTGGACGTTGCCTGTCTCCAGTCTGTTGTTGCTTTTGTGCCTGTTCTTATAGGGCCTAGGGTTTGTGTCCTTTTAACTTTGCCAGTCTGTAATTTGTAAGCCAATCCCCATGGGTTTGTCTGCCCCATCTCAGTAACATATTGATGCCAGCTCTTTTGTTTTGTTTCTTTAACTGCCTTTTGGAATTCTCTTTTGAGACGATAGTAATCCATCCTTAGCCTTCCCCTTCTCACCGTATCTCGCTCCCTTTGGTACACTCTGCGAGCTCTGTACGTTTTGTGTTTTAAGCATTTCTAATCTACTGTTCCACCATTTCTGCCTTTGGGTGGTTTGTTTGAATTTTGGAATAGAGATCTCTGCAGCCTTTGTTATGGCCTTCTGTATTGCATAACATTTGTGAGACTAATCGGGGGTAGGATGTTTACGAGGATGTCCCTCTCCTACCACTTACTCGACTCAAGACCTTGAGGTCCGGTCTCACTTGTCTAAAGGATGGGAAAAAAGGGTTAGGAGAAAGGATCGTTAGATTCTTTCACCTGTCAGGATCTGACACCAATCTGTCAATTTATCGCGGATAGATACGCGGNTCTATATAATAAAATCTATTAATTAAAAAAATTAAAAAACTATCGGAAGTCGTTTTTGACATCAGAAAGCAGCTTTAAATAACTTTACCGAAGGAAAATCGGTGCGCTACAACTTTAGAATGATAAATTAATTTTGATAAAAAACTCCCATTAAAAAAACATTAAGCCTTAATCGAGCCTTATCAAAGGCTCATTAAAATCGCGATAAAATTTTTTCGCGTGCGCAAAAAATTCTGAAAAAATTTGGGGACCTAAAAAACATTCCAAAAATTCAAAAAAAATAATGTTTTCAAAAGTGGCCTTAACGACGTAACGCTATAAAACTTGCTCGAGTCACACTCGAGCGCGGCTCAGAAGGGGTTAAAATAGTTCGTGAGTCGACGTAAGTCCGCAAATCGTAGAATAGTTCTATCGAGGATGGACGAGAGGTAGGTAATCCACACACACACACACAAAGTACAGAACAATAACTTTTTCCCCCTGTGTCGTCATTGCACTTGTCTTTTATATGGGGGCTCTGTTTTCGAGATGTCCCCCATGTACGTCACAGGTGATCATCTTCTTTGACCAATGATGGGCAAAGTGACAAACTTATGACACAACAGTTAACTCATCTTCTACAGGGAAGTATTGTCGTGGAAACGGAGTTTTTATGAGCGATTTTTATGAGAAAATTTGTCGGTTGTTTTTTTCTTTTTGTGTTAACCCTAACTTTTAATCTAATGAATAAAAATATTCGAATCTTAAATCCGGGCCCTCACACATTGCTTCACTGCGTCTGTACTGTTACTGATGTCAACAACTCTTCATTTCTATATCTCTGAGGTGAGGATTTTCCTGAATAGCTCCCAATTGGCTTTCCTTGTGTTAAACTTTCCGAGTTCAGTGCTGTTCGTTCTGTCCTGTGGAGGTGATTTCGTAGCTTATAGCATTATGGTCACTTGATGACCAGTCAGTGTGAACTGCCCAGTTGCTCACATAGGGGAGGAACTCTTCGCTCACCACTGTTATATCTATGTTAGATTCCCCTTGACTTGAGGAGAATGTGCTCGCTTGATCTGGAGCGTTTATAACAGACAAACTGTGATCTGCGAGTAGAGCTAAGAGTTTTTCACCATTGCTATCTATCCTGTTCGATCACTCCCCCAGGTTGGGGACTTAGCATTGCCGTCCACACAGATGACAGTATGTTTGTTTAGAAGTCTCCTGAGGACTGTGTCTAGTCTATCGAGTCCTTCTTCAATTGGAGTGCCAAATTGGAAGTAGGTGCTTATTAGGTAGAAATTAAAGTGCCCATGATTGATTTGTGCACAGACACGGTGAGAGCTGTTAAGTTGCGATAAGTCTAGAATGGTGAGGCTGTTGTTTATAATTGCTATGGCTGCCCATGGAGTTTCATTACTTTTATTTCCTTGTATTATCCTTGTCTTGATGTTATATCCTGCAATTTTTCCTTGTATGGCATATGGTTCTTGTAATGCCAAAATGTCTGTATGATAACTTGTCATTGCTTGCTTAGCTCAGAGGGGACAATTTGGCCTCTGCCGCCATTAACCTGGATAATTTTAATTACGTTGTTAGCCTTTATTCATAGGAGACAGTATTAAGGTATCTCTCCACTGCAACTTTATACGCCGTACACTGTTTGCTGTTTCTACTGTGGTTATGTGGCTTGCCTATCTTCTTGCAGGATGCACACTTTGCTGCCTCTTTTTTCTTTGGGCAATCAGTAAACTTGTGTCCTGTTTTGGTGCAGTGGGAGCACGTTTGTGTCGAGTCCTTACAATATTTTGTTATATGGCCAAAACTTTGGCATTTAAAGCAACGGCTAATGGCAAAATAGTCCTTAACTTTACAGCTGCAGTAGTCAATATACAGCCTTTCTTGTACCAGTAATTATTCTCTGAGCCCTGGCGAGACTTCCATCACCCATTTTAAATAGGAGTCTCAGGTCTTGTTTTCTGTCTCTCTGGGCAAAGATTTCTAGATTCATTGCCTGGATAACGTCAGGCAGTTCTTTTTCCTCTGTTTCTGGGCACATCATATATTAATACTATCACTCGTGGATTGCGTTTATTGATTGGCTGGGATTTGAGCTCATTTTCTTTCATTGTGCTGTTCTCAGTTAGTTTCTGTACGTCCTCGTCTCCCTCCACCTCTAGTATAAGTCCTTTATCCTGAAGTTTTCGGATTTGTCTGAATCTGATGCCATCGCTTCTTGGGTTGATTACTCTCATGAATTTTGTTTTCACATTGTCACTATCTTTTGAAATGCCCGGGTCTTCGGGCCTGACAAAGAGAATCTTCTGCGGCCTTTTCTTTGGCGTGACCGCTTTGCTTCTGTTCTCTGGTATAATCTTCTTTGCCACTTCTGCGTAACTTTGTGACATACATGTTGGTTGTGTTATGTTCAACATCTCAGCCTGTTTCTCTAGCTTCCCTTGAAGCTTTTCATGCTCTGTAAGGAGCTCTTCTACTAGGTCCTGAAGGGTGCCCACATGGTCTAAGACTTTCTCAGTAGCCCATTTGGTAATCTTGTTTTCCTTGTCCAGGCATGTAGCCTGTAGTTCTGAGACGATTCCTCTAAGTGAGGACATTACTCCTCTAAGTGAGGACATTACACCTTACTCCTTACACTTGTTGTTTCTGTTTCTTTTGGCCGTCGTTTACTTGTGGGTGGGAAGAAAGACTGTCTGTCCCCACTGCTAGCCCGCTTACGGCTACTCATTTTTAGAGTATCCATCTCTGGATCTTCGTCATCTTCTGATGTGAGGGGTTCACATTGTATTCTCAGCACTTTTAACTCTTTTATATCATTTTTGGATATTTCATAAGATTTTGTGGAGAGGAAACTCCAAGCCACTTCAGGCAACTTCTACGCCCTTTTGTTACTTGTCCGTTCCAAGCTGCTGTGGCCTCCAGCCCTACCCCCTAGTGGCCTCGGCAGAGCCCCCGCCACATGCCGCAGGGCCCTCTCCAGTCGCCAACTGGCACTACGATGTGCAGCGAGATTATGCACCTACTGATAGGGCAGCCAGCCTCATATGGCTAGAAGAAGCTGGGCCCCTGTACTATTGGGCGGCCTGGGAGTGCGTACCCAGTTTTAGGCTGTACCCTCTGGGGGAGGACCTTTGACCCAGCCTGTCTCTTCCAGAGCAACGTCTGAAGCGGGTCCATTGACTTCAGGAACTCGAAGCCGCTGCCACACTATTTAGTTTCACCCAGGGACATCCTGGGCTACTAGGCCACCCCGCTGCTACCAGGCAAGTGCATACGGCTTGTGGGGGATGAGACCCCACCCTTTGGGGTGGTGTCCATGTGTACCATTCGATGTTGTTTGCAGCAGAGTGGAATGTCCGCAAGATGTCCATTTCCACATTTACTGTTGAGTCAAAACCACAGATGTTTGTGCCGGCAATGGTGCGATGAATGACAGACATGGACAACTGAATGGAACAACATTGTTTTTACTGACAAATCCCACTTCTACCTGCAACACCATGATGGTCGGATTAGAGTCTGGAGACACCATGGTGGGAGACTGCCGAACTGTTGCCTTATGCATTGCCATACTGGTCCTAGACCTTGTATTATGGTTTGGGGTGGTATTGGATTCCATTCCTGCACCCCCTAGTACGCATTGCCGGTACACTGACCATCCAGCACTATATTTCTGAAGTGTTGGAGCCTGTTGTTCTCCCATACCTTCAGAGCTTGCCAACAGACACATTCCAACAGGATAATGCACGACCACATGTGGCACGCATTGCTCAAGACTTCTTCACCTATCAGATTGCATTGCTGCCTTGGCCTCTTTGTTCTCCTGATCTCTCACCTATAGAAAACGTCTGGTCAATGATTGCAGAATGAATGGCCCGGGATACACCACCCGCTGCTACATCATATCAACTTTGGCAATATGTGGAAGCAGCATGGAATGCTATACCCCAACAACATATCCAAAGCCTCTTTGAGTCAATGCCGAGGCGTGTAGCAGTGGTTACAGCCAGCAATGGTGGCAACACTCCATATTGATTCCATCATCTTCCTCACGTCAAAAGAGACTGTATTTTCAATCATTAGATCTTTGTGCAACGTGTTATCACAGCCAAATTTATTTGGGATATCTCTGGTCCTTCTTAGTGTTGCATTTTGGATGGCCAGAAGTGTATTTCAATAAATAACTTTAGAGTATGTGGTGTTTTAAAAAACTTTTTTAATTTCAGTTAACACAGAAGAATTTACAGAATGTGCCAAAGAGTTCAGACAATGCTGAGAAGAATGGATTTATACATGTTATTTTCAAAAATCATTCAAATATTTGGATAAGACGCAATAACAACACATACAGCAACAGCTTTTATGTGTTAGCTAACCTGTTGCGAGAGATAAAAGATGGATATTTTTCAGGTAAAATTAAGTTTTATATTGGGGGGGGAAATTTTTCCTTATGCATTTTTACTGTCTCCCTCTTCAGTATTTTTTTTGTACATTTTCAGCTTTTTGTGAATAATTGTGATTTTTCTTTTTTTCTCAGTTCTTTTAACATTACTATTGTTTCAACTGTTTTCTTCAATAATAATTTCTGTTCTTCTTATCATTGTTTCATTTTTTATCTCATCATTTCCTTGTTGCACTTTTCAAAAATTTTATCCTTGCATCCCTTTTTTCCCATTTTTCAACAGTAAATTGGAAATTGTGAATATGAAAATAGGAACTAGTATGTGCATATGTGGTATGTACTGTATAGTACATAAAAAAATTTTGGCTTTAGAAAATACTTAACATAAATTCCAAAGGATTAGAACAGTAGTTTCATTTGAATATGATATATGGAATATTAATTTAAAATATATTCTAGGGATTTTTAAAGTTGTTTTTAACTCAGCTTTAGAATTTGTCTGTAAAATTAGCTATTTCATTTTTAGAACAAAATTTTGTTAGATGTAATGTTTTTGTATTGTAGTACCTAATAAAATTTTTGAGTTGCTAGCTTGTTTGCACTACAATTTTGCTTGTAATTTGTTGAACTGTTCAACTATTCTTTATATATATCTTCCAAGAGTAAGCTTTTAATTTTCTATGTATTTATGGATTTTGAAATGCAGAAGTTTTGATCAGTACAGTGAAATAAATTCAGCAAGAAAAATTTTTTGTGGGTATTAATTAATTTCTTAATGAATTTTACTTACTTAAACTTTGATTTGTCTTGTAAAATCTTATTTTCTATTTAAAATTTTTCTCAGTTACAACTGTGCTATTTGCAATATCTATAGTTTAAAGATCAATTAAAACATGATTTTATTTAAATACTTAATATTATTACTTGGAAAATTTATGCTAAATATGTATATTTGTATTAATATTATTAGTGATGGAATGATTGGAAATCAGGAATCAAAAAAATTGAGCATTTTCTGGGAATCTTAATTGAACAAATCTAGTTACGATTTCCAAGTCCTAAAACAATTCTTCCTATTTTGTAAGAAAATTAATTATTTGTTTTATTTGAAGATTAATATCTAATTTTAAAAGTTTCCAACAATTAAGTATTGGTTTATTGGAAACATTTAAGTTGACAAAGCGATATCTATCAAGACAGATTTTTCTTTTGTATGGTCAGAGTGATGGGAGATTGCACTTGGTGAGTACTAACTGTGCCTATTTTAGGATAGATAGGGTGACTTTAGGGTTGTCATCCAGTTAGCATTGCTGGTCAAGCCATGACCAGCAGTCTGTAATCTGTATCTGGTTTGTATATAGTCCCTATATTAAAAGCAAAATGGTCCATCACTGCCACACACAAATAATGTAAACTTATAAATTAATATGATTTACAATGCGAATATTTCAAAACAACTTTTAGGCAGTTTTTAAAAACATTATTTTAATTTTCAGTTGATTTGATTTTAATTGTAATGGATTGATTTTATTTTTAATTTTTGGTTTCGGTTTCAGTGTAAAGGCGAGTTTTAATTATTTTATTTTTAATAATTTTTATTTATTTAATTTTGCATTAATTTTTGCATGCATTTTTAATCCTTGATACGATTTTTTTTAATTAATTGCAATTTTTTTTTCTATTACAACATAACTATAGAAAGTGTTTAATGTTGTTTTGCACAAAAGATTACTAAAAAATTAAAATAAATTTAAATTTGATTATTTCATTAATTTTTGTTTTATAAATTTGCCTGCTCTTTAAAAATTTTAATTATAAGTGAGTTAACATTGATTGACCTATTGGGCTATCTAGTTTCAAATCAAGGTCGGTGATCAACAAAAATATTTAAGTGTCAGAAAACCAGTTTAAAATATAAACTAAATTATATAAGAATTTATATTTAATATTTAGTATGCTTACTTATAATGATAAAATTACTCTCTCATTATAATTATGAATGTTTTTATTATGATTTACAGATAATGCTGTAATATATTAAATTTTCAAATGCAATTTGCACGATTCTAAGTAAAAATACTTGGTTGGCAAAGTTTACTGCCATTTTGAGTTTTAAAAATTGATTTTTCAAGATGAGACAGTCTAGACCAGCATTTCTCAAACTGTGGATACATTAAAATTTTAGTAGGTTGCAAAATGATAATATCTTCAGCAGAAATACTTGTAATACTGAAATATCTACTGTATAGAGCTGAAAAATGGGCATTTTCTTTCTATCACTGTACGCCAAAAATGGCCACTAGGGGCACTCCTAGCTATTATTTAAATTAACAATATAAATTATTTTATATTTTTACAGTATATTATTATTTTTATTTGTAATTTAGTATGCCCCGATGCCTGTATCAGACCTTTCAACTTGTTTTTAAAGAACTATGAACAATAGATTCATCTGTGAAGTACTGAAAGTTTTTAACAACTTTTTTCTTATAATTATTATTATCATTTAGTAATAAAATTAAGATTATAGAATGTGCACATATGAAATTGATTTCTCTTTTCTATTTTGAATAACATCAAAATAGATATTTTATGTAAGGTCACAGTCATAAAGTGTTTTCAAAGCCGTTGCAATTTAAATTATTTCCTTGTTTATTCAAACATTTAAGTTTATTGTCATACATAACAATAAATTATAAAAAATAAGTAATGGATGAATTTTGGTGCAAGGGTATCAATAAATAACTTGTAAAAGAATTTTTTTTTTGTATCTGTACAAAAAGAAATTTAAAATCTTAAAATCTGAAAAGTACATTTTAAAAAATTATTCATTAAATTTATAAAAAAATTGTAATATTTTTCAGTTAACCTAAAGAAGGCCATTAAACATGGCTGAAAATGTTTGTTCTCTCAAGAAACTCTAGAAAATGTGTAAAAAGGTTTTGTGAAAGTGATTTAAAGAAGTTCTAGCTTTCCATGCATGGAATTGTAATGTTTTTCAAAGTAAAAAGACTTTTGAGTAATTTTGAAACAGTCTGTTTTAATTACAATCATCAGTCTTACATTTTTTAATGGTTACTTCAATTTTAGTTTTTATTATTGAAATTTAAGTTATCAGGCCAATTTCAACTTGTAACATTGCCTTAACAGCTCTACATGCAAAATGTAAATTTCTTTAGTTAAGGTGTGTGTGAAATTTATACAGACACGAAAAAATTAAAGTGAAACCTAAATTTGCTGTATTAAGTGACAAATGTTTTATTAAAAATAACATGGATTTACATGTTTCCACACTGCAAAATAAGAATTTTAATCAAACATTAACATTTTGTCACTAAAAATAATATTTTTGAAAATTTTGTACAAAAAAAACTGTTACATATTTATCCGTACAGGTTTCAAATTGCAAAGTTTTCTTACAATTTGATGGCCAATGTAACCACCATTTAACTTAATTACATTAAATACTCGATTAGGCATTGTTTCAATTAGATTCTGAAGGAATTCAATCTTAAGTTTATCCCAACTATCTGAAATTGCTGCCTTCGAATCATGAATTGTGGGAAACTGCTTTCCATTGTCATAAACTGTACGAACCATCATCCCCCCAAAGATTTGCCATCGGATTCAGGTCAGGGCTTCTAGCAGGCCATGTCATTAGATTAATATTTTTACGTTTAAACCACATTTTTGTTGATTTAAAGGCATGCACAGGGGCATTGTCTTGTTGAAAGATCCAATTTGGTCCAGCTTCCAATAAATGATTTTCAAGCATGCCTTGATACTTCTCTGAATTCATTCTTTGAGTTATAAATGCTAAATCTGTGGTTTCTTTGAATCCAAATGCTCCCCACACCATTATTGATCCCCCACCCATTTGGCATTTTGAAAATATTTGTTTTTTGGTTCTTAAATCGTGCCAATAATAACTTCAACCGTCTGGACTATCTAAGATGAATTGTTTTTCATCACTGAACAAAACTTCAATCCATTCTTTGGACTATGTCGTGTTTTTGTGCCCAATCAAGTCTGTCACTTATGTGCTTTAATGAAAGTGGTGGCATTATAGCTTTTTTTCTGAATTTTAGCATTGGAGATTTATTTAAAACTCTCCACACTGTTGTGCTGCTACAAGGCAAGTCTAATTCTTGTTTTATTTTTCTTACTGATGTTTGTTTTGTGGAGCAAACCTTGATGATTTGTCTTCAGTCTCGAGGTATAAGCTTGGGTTTTGGACCTGTCTTGAATTTTGGTACATCCTAGCCACGTCTTTTTGATAAATAATCATCAACAGTTGATTTTGGATGATTTATATATGCTGCAATTTTTCTTATTGACTTTCTTTGTGATTTATAGGCATCAATCTGCCCTTTTTCATAATCAGATAAATTCTTTGTTCTACCCATTTTAGAACATTGAACACCATAAAGAATTTTTATTACAATTAGATATGTAAGCTGATTTGCATATTTAAATGCTTCAAACTAAACAATATTCTGTTTAAGTCATGAAATGAGTGCCTGTCTGGATAAATATGTAAGTTTTTTTGTACAAAGTTTTCAGAAATATTTTCAGTGACAAAATGTTAATGTTTGATTAAAATTCTTATTTTGCAGTGTGGAAACATGTACAGTAAATCCATGTTATTTTTAATAAAACATNGGTTTGTATATAGTCCCTATATTAAAAGCAAAATGGTCCATCACTGCCACACACAAATAATGTAAACTTATAAATTAATATGATTTACAATGCGAATATTTCAAAACAACTTTTAGGCAGTTTTTAAAAACATTATTTTAATTTTCAGTTGATTTGATTTGGATTTCAATATAAAGACCAGTTTTAATAATTATTTTGTTATTTTTAAATTTAATTATTATTTTTAATAAAACATTTGTCACTTAATGCAGCAAATTTGGGTTTCACTTTAATTTTTTCATGTTCGTATAAATTTGAAACACACCTTATAAGCATTAATGCAGAATTTTATTTTGTTACAGCAGTG